CTAACCAATTTTGAAATTCATTCGTAAAGATGTTCTTTTCTCCCCATATCGTGTTGGTTCGAAAATTTATAATTTTAAATGCCAGTGTGATGCTGAACATATATGGAGAACTGGCCAGAAGTTGTAAGTGAGAATTAACCAGTACGTACCCGTTGAGACCCGTAGAGAGCAGTATGAAAATTTACATACGCTACTCAATATATCTATATGTCCTGTGACATATAATGCACATTGTCTTTCGCCAGAGTTTTCGTCAGAGTTTTTTCACTTATCAGTAGAGCACATTCTGAATACCATTTGAAAACTGCTCAAAACCCTTTATATTAAATATAAGAATAGAAGTATTAAATGAAACATAGAGTGAGTAGAAGGGATGGCTGCTGGGTCTTAATGTAATCTGTCTGTAATTCATAATCCTGATTATCTGGTGACCATTTTCCTTACTTTTGTCGTTGTGCACAGATTTATATGCTTTCCCTCGATTGAACTCTGAAGAGCGATAAACGATAATCGGTTAGCTGTATATATATATATATATATATATATATATATATATATATATATATATATATATATCGATTTATCACTTCACGGTGAGTAATAATTTTTTCTTTTCCTTCCACTCTGCTCACCTGTTTTAATATATTTTATATATTCTATGTGAATATCTATTTCTAAATGCACGTTCTAAGAGACATAATAAAATTTTGTATTTTGTATCCCCCTACAATCGTTTAATCAAAAAAGTTTTCTTTCTATGCCCAAGAATTCCCTTCCGATAGGAATTGTTGATGTTAAGATTAGCAATGAAAGTAAGAGCTTTTTGTTTTGTTACGTCCTATAAAAGCGAGTGCAATAAACGCAATTGCTTACTCAACAACGTTTTGTCAACCATCGTGGAAATGTTTCTTTTCGTTAGAAATATAAACCATAAATAGTATCGGTAGAAATTCGAATTCATTTCTTAACAAGTCAATCAGGAAACAGACAAATCAACTTATTTTGTAAGATAATTTCTTTAATACTCACAACCATGACTGGGTTCCCCTGCTTGTGTAGCATAATACACAGTCCTGTTGCCATACATAGGGTCTTCCAGCAGCAACCATCCTCTTGGTCCAGACCAGCACTACCTTCTTAAGGCCCTTGATGTAATGTTTCCGTGTTGAGTCTGAGGCCTTTACCAACAACTTCGGGAGTTCTTTTCTTATCAGAACAATAATCATAATCACCAACTCTTTCCGAATCCTCAGATTGACACCCAAACGCACTGAAATGTTCATACTGTAGATTCCAGCACGAATGCCAAGCAGTACAGCATGCCGTTTTCAAATTTCTGGTGGAGTGTTATTACGTTATGGTGCTCTTTTTCTCACAGGTAGTCTCCAACTAATCCAACTATACTGTGCAGCCGACAAAATCAAAAACAAACAACGCGCATGCGCAAAATTAAAAATATAAAATGACGACAATTAATTTACCAATCGCACCCACTCTCTCTTTCTCTCTCTCTCTCTCTCTCTCTCTCTATATATATATATATATATATATATATACACACATATATATATAATTTTTATAAACAAATAATTTATAAGTAACTGTACTCAATTTTTTAAAGTAGTAATTTTAATTTTTAAAAACTACAATTAAAAAATCTTTTAAACGTGTAAATATACTCCAGAAATCGTATAAGTTAACTCTCTGGCATAGCGGTGCAAATATTTAGAATTTACGGCGTTCATGCACACATATCCATAGAAATTCAACCCTTGAAGCTGAGATTGAAAGTACTTGGGAAAATTTAAAATTATTTGAAAGAAAATTCTGAAATTTTTCTGAATCACTTTTCTACAGCTACCAAGAAATTAATTCGTGGACTTGAAAGGATTAAAATTAAAATAAATATACATAACATGTCTAATTTTTTTAACCAAACATGCTTGAATGAAATATATATATATATATATATATATATATATAGGTAATAATCTGTTGTTATATAATTCAAGTGAATCCTAATAATATAAAAAATATCAAAACTGATCCACGAAGAGAGCTCACTGTATTTATTATAACAGAGCATATATAAATAAATTACAAACAATAGAAACTCAGAATGACCCAATTTGAATAGCTATTTCACCCTACAAGAGGATTTATCAACACTAAGGAGCTAAGAAATAAAATAGTAGCTTAAAGATCTTAAACTTTAAAGGATCAAGAAAGAAAAAGAGAGAAAAATGAAAAAGTAAAAGAAAAAAAGAAAAAAACGAAAAGGAGAAAGAAGAATATAACAGAGGAGGAAGCAAATCGGTTAGACAAAGCTTAAACCCAGTTTCATGATGGTAGAAGGGGGTTAAAATTCAGACACCAATTAAAATAATATTAACCTATATTTTAAAATATTAACATCTAGTTTCTATAAAGGAAATTACTATTTAAAAATTAGAGAGATTTTTTAAAATTTTATTTTAATTAACAATAATTTAAGAAAGAGTAAGTAAAAAGGAACTTACTTAAAATAAATAGACACAACTTGTCTATATCATTTAATGAAACATGCATATAATATAAATATATATATATATATATATATATATATATATATATATATATATATATTTGCCTCAAAAAACAAATCTAGTCTCGTTGACAAAACTCGCTTGGCCGTCTCGAAAAGGACCTCCAATCGATTGTGAACTGGGGCATGAACTTCAACGCTTCTAAGACAAAACTTCTCTCTATTAATCACCACAGAGATCCTTCCCTTCCCTCCATTAGAATGTCTGACGCTCAACTTCTCGAGAGCAACTCTCTGCGGCTTCTCGGTCTCACGTTGACTGCTGACCTGAGATGGAGAGTCAATTGCCTCGTCCACTGCAAGGAAAGTTGGCTCCCTGAGCCGCGCCAGGAAGTTTTTCACCCCGGAGTCGATCCTCCAGATCTACAAATCCACAATTCTCCCTTGCATGGAGTATTGCTGCCATATATGGTCTGGTGCCCCTTCTGTTTGCCTCGGGGTTCTTGATAGGCTCCAGAGGCGGATATGCAATATGGTTGGCCCTGCCCTGGCGTCTCGTCTACAGTCACTTTCTCACAGACGCGCCGTCGCCTCCCTCTGTCTGTTCTACAAATACTTTCATGGAAATTGCTCCGAGGAGCTGCATTCGCTGGTTCCCATACGTCATGAGTTCCAGCGCCTTACGAGGCTGGCATCCCGCTCTCACCCCTTCACTGTCGAAACTCCTAAATGTAGCCGTCTTTTCTACTCTAATCGCACCTCTCGCCTGTGGAACTCCCCTCCCTTTTCCTGTTTCCCTGTGAGCTATAATCTCCAGCTATTCTAGTGTAATGTCAATCGACATCTCCAGTTGCCTTGATCTATCCACTACCCTCATCCTTTCTTCTATCACTCCTATCCGATCATGCTCTAAATTTTCTGTAACCCCTTGCGTCGTAGTGGCTTCCCGCCTTGCTTGGGGTGAAATGCTTAAATATATATATATATATATATATATATATATATATATATATATACTACAATTCAAAAGTTTGAAGACACCACCAGAATTAGCAGAATTAAAAGAGAATATTTTGACGAGATCAAAATTTAATCATAAAATTCATTTTTTCGTTTTCTGATAACAAACTTTCTAATAAAAATTCATGTATCACTTTTTTAACCATGTTTAATAATTTTCCCTTATTTAAAGTACAAAACAATTACTTTTTAGGCCAATTTTAAAAAATTACCAGGGATGGCCTGAAACCTTTGAACTCTAGTGTGTATATATATGCTGGCGTATATCTGTGGCTGTAGAGTGTGATATTCCCATCATCATCAGCCATTTTTATGACATATGCCAAACGAGATTTCATTAACATCAACATTTTTGTTGAGATGTTTGCAGACATCTAAATACTGCACCACTGAGGAAGATTCAACTCTACCATGAATACGCTAGTCGTCACCTAGATCTAGTCAGGCCGACATTCCTTTACTACAGAAAGAATGAAATATGCTGCGCATTTTGAGAAGATACTTATTTAAAATCACTGAAACAAATTATTCGTAGCGATGAAGTAGTTCACTTTCAGAATTTTCTTCAGTACAATGTTTAGATGTGGTATAAAATTTCACTATTAAGCAATTTTGAATGACTTTCTAGCTTTACAGCAAACAAAAATATAAACGTAAAAATTACAGTCGATATAGCACATTTACGAATGGGCAACGTATGTGTTCATATGTAAAGAGAATAAGTGGGCAACATTAGAATGATTCCAAGTTTATGTGTAGCTTACTGGTTGGTTTTCTATTGCTTTACAAATTATTTTTGTCGTTCCTATTGTTCCAATGACAATATCGAGTTTATTTCGCCGCAACACTAAAAATAAATAACTGCGATCAAGTATGCCATAAAATTACTAGACAGAAGAGAATTGCTTAAAAACATGACGTTAGTTATATACGAGAAAAAGGTAGGAGAAAGAATGAAATAAAATGGAAAATCCCTGTAGATATTCCTTTATTTTTATTAGAAGTAGAAAGGGAATAAAAACTTTCAGCTAAGTAGAGAGAGATGAAGAGAAGCGAGCATTATTTTAGGAATATGTCGTTCAGAAGCAATTGAGGGAAAATGTTGTGCAAAATAAAATGGAAAAAGAGAAAAAACACAGTGAGTGAGAGACAAAGAAGTGGGAGTGCTTAAAAAAGATTGTGTTGAAAATATAAATTTAGGAAGTGTGTAGAGGAAGAGGAAGGTTTGCGAAAAGATAGCGAAAAAGAATAAAAAAAAATTATACAAATATTTAGAATAATAAAATAGACTAGAAAAATAAAAGGAATTCATTAAATCTTTCGAAAGAGAGAGAGAGACTTAAAAATAAGACAAATGGCAGAAAATTGAAGAAATATTATTGCTAAAAATATTATTGCTGGAAAAGACGATGAGGAAAAATAAAGTAAGGGATGTAGATATTAAAAGAAGATCAAATTATATTTTTAAAAGAAACTTTTCAGTATGAGTGGGTAGTGTGGAAAATCGAAAATGAAAGAGAACAGAGAAACGAAGTAGCAAATAATGCAGGACAAATGTAAATAAAAGAATAAATGGAAAATAACGAAGACAAGAGAAATAGAGCGAATAAAGAAAACGGGAAAGATTAAAAGAGTGGCGACAAAGAACGAGAATTAGAAAAATAAGTATAAAAATAATATTAAGAAGAAATTTAAATGGGGTAAAAATATGAAAAGAAAAGGGAAAAAATAAGAAAAAAAGGAGTAAATAAAAGGTTGAATCAGAGAACACAATAATGCGCAAATAAAAGAAAATACCGGTAAGAATGAAAGAAAATGAAGAAGGAAAGGGGGAAGGAAAAATGGACAGTTTTCTAAATATTATGATACAGAATGTTGAAAAGAACGATACGATGAAAAGCTAACAAATTGTCACGTCGTATATAAATTTAGGTTGAGAGTGTCACGACATTAACTGAAGATTTTAACTTATATTGGTTCTGATGCCGATGTAACAGCAGAAAGAATCGGGTTCAAGTCACGATTCGTATTTGTTTGTTTTTTTCTCTCATCATCTTCACATTATTCAACCAGAGAACTTTTTTCTTTCAACCTTCTCCATTTTTATTTGCAATAAAAGGTCTAAGAGTCAGCACAGCATCAAACGAAGCAGTTCTTGTGTAATATTGTAAATGAGAGACGTTTTAACAATACACCATTCTGTTACTGTGATGTTTCAAAATGGCCACTCTCGAGTTGAAATAGTGACTATAAACAGTTACAGAAATCTATATACGCTTGCGTTTGTATATATACACAGGCATATACATACATACATACATACATACATACATACATATATATATATATATATATATATATATATATATATATATATGTATGTATGTTCAACAATTTATTCAATGCAGAATCTCCTTTAGTAGCCATCTGCCTGTGACGTCAGCATAAAGTAAAACTGTCATGGATAAGTTTTAAGTATTTAAATATAGGGAAGATAACCCTGGATTCTGAAAATAGCTTAAAGTGTAGTTGAAAGTTCACGGTAGAGCAATACCCAGTCTCATTAAAATTTAGGACATGTTCCCATGTACATCAACAAGAAAGATATTTTTAAAATCTTTGTACCCACCCACCAAATATATTTTCTAAATACACATATGTGCAAACAAAAATAAATAAATGCACGCATATATAGAGATAGATAGATAGATAGATAGATAGATAGATAGATAGATAGATAGATAGATAGATAGATCGAGAGATAGATAGATAGACACCACCAAAAGTTTTCTAAAAAAGAGCATAGAATAGGCTAAATAAAAAAAGTTTTACCGCCAAAATAATTGTTATTATTAAGACAAAAGACCAAAATATCTTTATACTACTTTTAATCCTTTCTATCAAGTTCGAAATTTTGGTCAAAAAAACTTCTTTTTTTTTTTTTACCTCAGTGGCTGGACCAAAGATTAGTATAGAAAATTTAGCGTCTTTTTTGCGATAAAAAACACATTTAAAAACAAAAATAAAACCCTTGAAGAAAATGAAATAATTGTCGGATTTTAATGAAATTCTCAGGACTTATTCACAAATGAATAAAATTATTTTTTAAATATTTCTTCTACAAAAACTTAATAGAAATAATTTTACACCTGTTAACCTCCAGAAAAATTATTAAGTTTTAAATCTTTTGAAATTCTGTATTAATTTCAGCGGTCTTAATTATATTAATATTAAGTGAAAACTATACTTACTAATAATAAATGGAAGATCTTAATACAAATCATCAAATATCAATATTTTAGAAATATTTTTTATTGATTACTGTGCAGTTTTTGTAAGTACGGACGACCATTCACGACATTATCATATATATATATATAGTTGAAGCCATAAAATTGTGTCCAACATATTTAGATTTCGGTAATAAATATTCCATTGAGGTTGATATATCTCTAAACAAAATCAACAAACCTAAAATTATATTTTAATAAATATTTCATGTGTTATATATTTTGTCTTAAGTGTTAAAATATGTCATACATAAGCAATGTTTATGTCAATAAAATTTGTATTACCTGAGTTTATATAAAAAATAATTTATACCCACCTTGTCAAAATGCAGTCAGAAAAATAATCACACTAATATTTTAAAGAAAACGCAAAATAAGTGTGATCTTGTCTTCTAAAAATAATTCTTCCAAAGAAGCAAACATAAAATAAATAATTAAAAATATATATTTTAAAAATAATAAATTCGATAATTTCATGTCCGGCAAAGTTATTTATCTTATTTCCTGCAACGTTCGTAGAACCATTGTCGTCGTCTGACATTTCACATTACTACAAATTAGTTTCAGCAGAGTCGTACATTTGCTTTATAGAATTATCTAAATAAATCAAAATAATCTGTTCAATTATATTTTCTTAAAATTGTACCGAATTAATTAAAGAAGTGAAAAATAGTAAGTTGGATTAATTTATTATTATTAATAATACTAACATTATAAATGTATTCAAATGTTCCTCTCATGGTTAGCTCTATGTAGCTTTGTCTAGAGTAAGAAATTAAAGTGGACTTGATATGATCACAAAATCAACATTAGAAAGTTGGTGTTTTGTTGAAAATGTAATTCATACGAAAATAGTCCTGGGTGCTCCATACTTTCGACCTTGTGCCACAAATAAACTACGCTTAATAAATCGCTATACGAAAATAGTATTGTTAAGAGATCTTCTATTACAATTTACTGATTTCTGTTCGTAGGACGGGATTTCGATTAGTACCATAGAAGCGTGCAAATAAAATCTTGAATCAATTATCAGTGGACAGTGGATAAAGGCGTTGGTTAGATCCAGTGACAGGACCCAAAAAGTGTGAGTTCAATACCTGGTAAAGGCGGTAGAGAACTTGGAGAGAGGAATTAACAGGAGATAACTGATAACTGACATCCATTAGACATGGCACGTGGAACTAGAACAGTCTACACCAGTGAGCTAAATAAAGAGTTCAGTTCGACATTCCAACCACCTGAAGAAGGCCGGAGCGTACAACGGCCGAAACGTTGTAATAAATATGGCGACAAAGATGAGGACAATAGTCCGAATAATGTAAATAGTGTACATAATACCTGATCTCAGAAATATAGACAGATATTAGAGTTTCTTGTTTTTAAATCTGGGGAAATGTGCACAATTAATAAATGAGCTCTGGAAATTGGAAAAAATTTCCTTAAAAAATAAGTAATAACCAAAAGTCTTGCCGCCATTTCTGTTGGGCACCGAAAAGTATAAAAGGTACACTGTTTAAAAAAGTATTTGTTTTATATAACAAATATTTGTTCATATAATGACCTTTCTTATGGAGGATAACTTAAATACTATTCACACTTTCTTCTATGCGCCGTGTCCCTTCAGGACGTTGCCGAACATTCAAATACATCCTTGTCCATTCAGGACGTTGCTGATTATTCACATACATCCGCATCCCTTCAAGACGTTAGTGATTATTCACATATATACGTGTCCCTTTAGGACGTTGCCGAGCATTTACATACACCGAACATTATACAAGGACCATTTTAAATCAGATTCAAGGTTATCATTATTTGTCAGGCTGTTAGAGGATTTAATTGACCCTCGTATATAAGTCCGAGTTTCCAAACAATCATATTGGCATATTTACTCACGTCAACGGCACACATGAATTTACTGTCAAACTCCATTTGTAAATCTTAATCGTAATACCTGAGCTTCATTGAATACCAATGATTTGTTCCCCAATATTCCTATTGAAGAAATTATATACAAAATGTTCGCAATATTTGTTTAAACCATGACCCCTCTCGCCTCTAAATATTAAACCTCAAACTTGTACTCCTAAAGCTTCTTTTTATGATTTCAATGTCAACAGTGCTGTAGATTTTCCTCTTGAGCGGACATTTTCTAATTATTACAGGTCTCATCGAGAAATTATAGTCTTTAAAAACCTTGTTAAACCTACAATTTACCTTAGATATATTGGTGATATTTTATCGTAGATCATAGTTTTGACGAAATAAAAAAAATAAAAAACTGCTTTTACAAATAATTGTTTTCAAATTAATTACAACAATCTCATTATTTGACGTTTGAACTAACTTCAGTAATCACACCTTATATTAAAACGACCTGCTGTTGGCTGAGGCTTCAGATTACGCCGACGGGTACCCCCACCCCATGAGGCGTCCTGAGTATGACGATGAACTACATCCGGCAGCAAGGCCTCTGATCGGAAGGTTTTGAAGAGCGTGGAGACACCTCTTAATTGCTACTGTTCCCAGGTTCACCCTGACCCGGAGTTGTAGGGTCCCAGCTATGGGTAAATAGTTAACCCCCCAAACTGGGGCCAAAACTATGAAAGTATAAAAATGGATTATTATAGTAAAAATACCTGTAATACATTTTTGAAAAAAATATTACCAGCAATACATTTCTGGAAAAAAATATTGATACATTTTCTATTCATACGAACCTATCCTAAAAATCTTGTCAGCGTTAAATAACCCATTGAGGTTGATATGCCGTAAAACAAAATAAACCAAACCTTATAATGAAAAGGGTTTTAATTCATGCCACTTATAATAGCTAATGACCGTACAAAGGAAATTGTTATTAAAGGATTTATCAATAAGGCTCATCATAACTCAACTTCACTACATTATTTTTTTAAAGAACTCTGTAAATTAAGCGATAAATAACAACATATCTGATTATGTTGTTGATAAGAAAATTGAAAATAATTACTAATAGTAATAACAAAGAAGATATGATAAACCTATTTTATCCTAAGTAAATGCACCAAAATCAGAAATAAAATGCAACACGTATCCAAAACCTTTATACATAGGTACACACATCTTCAATCACATGAGATAAATATGAGATTTGAAATCATTTAGCCTTATCATTATTCTTAACCTTTATCATCAAAAACCTTCATGACAATTCTAAAATGATCTATGACTGTTCTTGACTTTGGTGGTATTGTGGTTCTTTAATCCAGAAATGCCTAATTCATATATTGGCTAAACAACTGCTTCTTTATTTGTTGGTTAAAGTGCAATTCAGTCTCATATTAATGATTATGGGTTGCGAAGTACTAATGTCTCATATTGTATTCGCCAAATACTCGTTAATAATAAGCATAAATCGTAAAAAAAAATGCAGAAAGTGGTTTCAAATTCTTAGGGCATATATTATAAAATAAAAAAGTTAAATGAGACTTTATGTAATTTGAGTACTGGGATTTTGAATATCTGTATTTGAGAGATCTATTCTTCTCTGTAAAATAAAGGTTCAGTCAATACAACTTAATTAAAAGCAAGTAAAATTTCTGAAAAGTTAACCCAAATAACTCACTTGGCCATGAAAATTGCATGTTCACACTTGAGCATTTTTTAAAAAGTTTCATTTTTGATGAATAAATTCAATAAAGCTCAAATTATGAGTATATAAGAAAGCTTTCTGAACGAAACTCGCCATACTGAGAAACTGAATGAAAATAACTGACCAACTAAGTGTTTTCTTGTCAATTTGAAGTAAAATTATGATTTTTGTTTCTCTTTTGTGCCTTCTTTCTAAAATGGTTCATGGTGCTTTTTTAACATTTTCCTTTATATTCCTGAAAAATATTTTTCAAAATAACCTTGCATATATATTGAGACACCAACCTATATGCAAACCTTCAATCTGACTCTCAGCTTTTGGGTGGTTAACTAAGATATTAAAAAGGTTCGTTAGACGTTTCAAAAGCTATATAATACGAATGTTCAAATAAAGACTTTTACTACTCCTGTGGAATTTTTGCTTAAGTAATGGCCTCTTCTTGATTGCTATTAACGATGACAAATCTTTGCGCGACAACAAAAGAAAAACAATCTGAATTATCTTTTCTTTTCTTCTCGCATTCCGTAATGATTAAGATTGACTTATCCATTTATCACAAGTAAAATACGTTGTTTTTGCTTTTGAACAAATCAAAAGTACACTGTTTTGCCATAAACATTGGAAAATAACGATAGTTGAATCATTATAGCTTTGAAATGAGCATATGTAAAAAAAAAAAAAAAACTAAAAAAAAAACACATAAACTAAAATTTTCATTAAATGTGCTTGACGCTACTTTTTTCTGAATTCCTAGAGTATGTTAAAATATGTTGAATATAAATCATGCCACGTGTTATGGTGTAAGCTGTCTAATTTCTAATAAGTTCAAACATGTCTGTTAGAAAAGAGTGAAAAAGATGTAAGAA